GGAGGTGGTTGTGAGGGAAGAGGATTAGTTTTATGGTCGGACATTGGGTGTATGGAACGAGGTTGAATCGGTTGAATCGTCTTCATTTCAATGACCAATAAAAATGACAATACATTGTAAAGCCAGACATACCGGGTCCACCCTGGCTGTCAACGGGTATCTACACGATCGAAGATCATCATTACAAATGAATAAAGCCTTGAATGGATTTGCCTATTCGCTACCTATTCTTAGAAGACGCATGTATCCACTTTTATCATCATCCTACTAACTCTGCGTTGAGACTAATAGCAGCCGGGGAATCCTCCAGACCTCCATGGGAATCATGGGAAAAGCAAACTAGAAAGAACAATCAAGGAAAGGACAGAACAATCCTGTAACACTCAGGGCATTCGTGACGGATTGATAAGAATAGATACCGCCACAACCTATAGCTCCCAAACTCCAAAACCCCATGCTCAAGATCAAGAACAGACGTAAGATGCACTTCAAAGTTCAGAGCGTTCTTACGCATTTGGTGCCGCAAGGAGGGTCCGCTTGGTGGGTGGGGGGGAGGGGGCTTCTTCGCACGAGATGGTGGAGGAGGAGGAGGAGCCTTCTTCGATCCGAGGGTGTTCAAGTTGGTTGCGCTGGGTCTCCGGGATGGCGTACTGCCGTGAGATGTTGCTGGGGATATGGACCTGCCCCCGCTAAACATCCGCTCGGGGCTAGAACGGCCATATGAGCTGACCTCTTCGGAGTCGGCGTAAGGATCAGCAGAGACTCGACCGTTCCCAACTTGGGTGCTGCTTCGACGTCCAAACCCGCCCAGATTCTCGCTGGTGGTTCGCTGCTGGAGCCACTGTGATGCAACTGGCGCTTGTTCTTGTCGCAGTTGAGACGGGCCTTCAAATGTAGGAATTCGGTTGAGAACGGGACGTGAGACACTGGCATTCCCATAGGCATCTCGCGGGGGGGGAGTCAGAGTATGGCGTAATAGATCTGGCTGGTCGGATGGGAGCACGAGTCTCATTAATCGACTCCTCCTGCAACGGCTCATACCGTTCCTGGAACGAATGGGCAGTGTTGGCACGAGGACGGGTTGGCCGACGGGGAGGGGGCTGTAATTGGCTGTCCCTATTTCAGTATTAGTACCGCACACGAGGATGCAGAGGCCAGATCAATGCTTACCCAATCCATTCATTCTTGAGCTGCAAAAGGGCTTCACGGGATCGTTCATGGTAGTCAAGCTGGGCGTCCAAGAACACCCCCATGTCCATAACATTGTCCACTTCGGCTTCTTTGATGTCCTGCATGCGACGCAGCACATCGTCGCTGGCTTCCTCGTACTTCACTTTTTGGGAGCGTAGTTCTTCCTCCACGCGGAAGTCCTCCTTCTTCGCCTTCTCCATCTTAGAAAGAGAAGTATCGTATGCCAGTCGGCGGCTGTCGAGCTTCTTGCGAGCATGCTATGAGCAGGTTAATATTGACTTTCAACTTTAACCTTCGGTCCAAAAACATACCTGCAGGTCTTTCATCTGAGTCAGGGATCTTTCCAAGGACTCAAGCCAGCTTGAAGTCGCCTGTGCGATGTAGTTTTCTTGGATGCGCGCAATACGCTCTTCGATGCGTCCAAACACTGATCGAAGTGTTAGCAATGCGATTTCTTCCCCGCATTCCCCAGGTCGTCTTCAGAACTTACTGATCAGACACTGTCCGTATTCCGAGTTCCCGTCAAAGTCTTCGCCGTGGGCCACCATGCTGCTTCCCAGGTGGGCAATCGGGAGGGTCTTTTCTTTGTCGTCACCCTCATTGCGCTTGGAGATAGCCTTGACATAGGAGGTCATGGATTTATGAATGCGCTCAACGCCTAGAGATAGAGAGAGGTTGTCAGTATGGATACACTGCAGACACGGAGCGTGATCACTTCCTACCTTCCTGTCGCACGCCCATCTCCGTCTCCATTGCCTTGAAATCATCAGACAGACAGGTCTTGGCCTCCCCGCCCATGCGTTCTCCAGCCCATTGTTTGAATCTGCCGATTCTCTTGTTGACGTGCATGTTGGCGAGAGATAGTGGTATGCGGAAGAATAATCGAAACCAGCGATTGTGTAAAATAAAAGGTCAACCTTGGAAGGGAATGGTAAGGGAGTGGTAAGGGAATGTCTAGAATGCTCTAGGATAAGGAGAAAAGACGGGGGAGGGGGAGGGGAAAGGAGGTTGGGAATTAGATTAAATGCCGGGGGGCACGCAATTATGATAAAATCGAATATTCGCATACAAGTTACAACAAAATACAATGCTTTTTATGCATGCAGTAACGCCGATCTTGTCAATCAGTGGGGAAGCCTGTACTCTCTTATTATTGCCATTGAAGCAAGAAACGAATACGAAGAAGAATAAATAACGAAATACCGAAATGTCTATAACCACCAAGTCCCTAATGCGACAGTCATATTGCGTATGAAAGTACTCCGTAGTACTCCGTGCCCTGTACCGGCGTATCCCCATACAAAGCCCTAAAATAGCCACCAAGGGGAGAACCACCCCCAGTAAACGCTGTGACACGCGTTAGTGGACCAACTGGCGGAGAGCCACTAAATCCCATTGGAGGCGATGAATTACTATAATTATCCCTTGCCACCAGGGAATATTAGAATGTGACTTATAAAGAAGTGGCATTAGTGAACTAGTTTATTATCCTTATTATATGGAGCCCAATAGTATACAATAACCTTGGATATACTCCGTACTAAACTGTGCACTCCATATACATACTCCGTATTACTCGTATAATACTCGCACGGTGCATGCGTTGGCTTTAAAAAAAAAAGGTTTCAAATCTGTTTCAGTTGGTCCCTGGCTCTGGACCGGTCCAATGTGATTTGCGAGTTACGGTGAACAGTGAATCAAGATCCAACGACTATCAGTGGGTTGCATCGCCACAATACAACAAGTTGCATGTCAAATTCGACGGAGTAAAACGGCGAAAATTCCCATCCACCATTCGGTCCGTTATTATTGGTAGGAATATATATACTCGTCTCCAGTGCAAGTATCCATATCGTAATCATATGGTCCGATCAGAAACATCCACCAAGGTCATTCGAGGGTCAATAGATAAGCCAGGTATCCACGTCTGTTCCGATTCAGATGCCAGCAGAGCATCAAATTCATTCCAGCCACTGGGAAATGGAAAATCGCCCCTAACCGCCGACAGACCAGTCCCCTTCTCACTAGTATTCCAATCTAGATCCAACACCTCACCACCCCTATCCCCCAACGCCGAGCGCGGCGTTCCACCTTCAGGAAAAGCACAGGATGACGATGATTCCGGCGAGTGCAGGTGGCTTTGCCCAAGACTCTCTACATATTGACCGGGCGTAACGCCCACATGCTTCTTAAACACACGGTGGAAATGACTAGGCGTCAAGCCAGCCTCGGCCGCCAGATCTCTTAATTTCGGTTTCAGTCCTGCCGTCAGGATGCTCCGGATTGACTCGCAGGCTGTGTCAATTGTGGCGGTTTGGGGGTTGCTTTGAGCCGCCGTCTGGCCCGAATGCGGCCGGCAGCGCTTGCAGGGTCGGAAGCCGGCTTTCTCTGCTTGCGGGGCGGTGTCGTAGAATCGGACGTTGGCGCGGCGGGCTAGTCGTGCTGGGCAGGAGGGACGACAGTAGATTTTTGTGGTCAGGACGCCGTAGACGAAGCTGTTGGCGGTTATGTCGCGGGTTGCGATGGCTTGCCACCGTTCTGGGTTGGTGAGGGGATTCGGGTTGAGTCGGGGGATCTGCTGGGGCTTGGATGGGTCCGTCATATTCTGGGTATTCATACTGTAGATATCTTCAAGGTAATGTATATTGTATTCATTGTGGCATCAAATTACTGCAGGTAGAGGGAACTTCGGGAAATCTGCCCAGGCGATGGTTTGACCCCAAAGTGACCAATCAGCGTCCAGACTGCCCAATGCCTCAATGTACAATGGTGTACTTAGTACGGAGTACACCAGGGCTACCTACAATATATAGCATGTACATGTAGGATTGAATAATTTACTTGGTATGCTAAGTATTGTATCCTGCCTTCCTGGTTCCGATTTATCTTCGGTTCTTGTGCAACTCTGCCATGAATATACACACCACTCCAACCAACAATTGAAGGTACCATAGATTCTATCTCAACGAGCCAATGGCAAAGTCGAGAGATATTTGTCCCTTCGCGCGTAGTCTCCGAGTCGAAGCTCCTAACCAAGTTGATGTCAATATCTTTCCTTCTTCACATATAGTACTAAGTGTTGACTATATCTCAAGGGATTCAAAGGATCTACACACCTCATAGGAGTAGCTAGAAAATGGAAGCATAACGCCAAGGGTTTGGTAATAGTTCATTGTATTTGAGTCGCGCTCTCTCTCCTGATACCTATACAAGGTGACCAATAATTAGAATGGACCCTTCCCGCGCATCCTATAACTTACGCTGGTTTGTATCCCAAGGTGCTTGGAGCTGTCGTCGCGTTAAAGAGAGGTTTCCACAAGGGAGTTGGGCTGGTCGAACTTCCAAAAGGAGCGGACGACGAGCCAGAACTAGAGCCTTGGTTATTCGAACCAAACGTCCCATTGACCGTTGGGCTAGACACATTCCCGGTGGCCGATGTTGTACCGGGTGACAAACCGAATGAACCCAGCGTGGTGGTGGCTCCATTGTTAGGTCTAGATCCGCCATTCCCTGATATGAATAAAGATCCGCCATTCCCTGGGTCTCGGAATAAAGATCCACCATTCCCTGGGTCTCGGAATAAAGATCCGCCATTCCCTGGGTTTCGGAATAAAGAAACCTGAGCTGTATCAGAGATTCCTTGACTTGAAGGAAGGATGGGGAGAGAAGACACGACAGGGAGAGAAGACACAGCAGGCACTGGTTGAAAATTAGCTTTTACATATCGACGTGGTATTTGAAGAGCTACTTACCAGTAACAGCAGGTGAAACTTGCGAGAACAGACGAGGAGTATTGGGCGCCACCTGAGCTATCGGAGCCGTGCCTGCACGGCTTGGAGTATTAGCTCGGGGAGTTGGCGGTCCTGCTGAGATGATATTTCGATTAGCCTGCGATTCCATGTACCGGTATATGGAATGTAAATACCCAAGATAGGACGAGCACGCAGCGAAGAGTCCGCTATAACGAAGGCATTGAGAGTCTGCCTTCCCTTTTGGAGCTTTTCGAGCTCTTCATTCAGACGTTCCCGATCCTTCTGGATGTTCGATGGCTCTCCTGCAATTTGTCGAATCTGCTCATCATTCATTTCAAGTACAGTCTTGCCGGTAAAGATATGCTCCAAAGGGCAAAGAAGGCAATTTTCGATAGCCAAGATGGCAACATTGTCGACGAATGTCACGATCGCAGTCTGCAAATACGGCCTGTTAGAACTACCCGGTATCTCATTTCGATGTCTAGCTCACCTCGTAGTAGGCCTGCATTTGGTCAATAATCTCTGCTGCTGCAAACTGATCGCTGGATGACTGTAGCTGAGATGTCGCTCGCTCTAGATCTCGGACATTAAAAGTATCCACTCCCGTCGGGGCAAATTCAGACCGCTGAAGGTTCTTTTTTAACGCAGCAATCTGGCGGTTCTTTCTGGACTCCTGGATCTTGGAGAGAAATGATGTCCCCACGGGCAACGGATGGCCCCTTTTGTAGTACGAAGTCAATTCGCTGAGCTTTTCCAACAAAGACTCCTTCATCTTCTCCATTTCCGGTCCGATGAGGTGTCGCATAAGCAACGGGCGGGTCTGATCGTCCATGAGGTTCTTCAGGACCAACTGGATAAAGTATTCGACCGAATCCCAGGTATTCAACAGATGGGATTTAGCAACTGCTTCCCAGGGCTCGCACTGGTCTCGGAACAAACTCCCCACAAGTAGCTGGTTCGCACTACCTGGTAGCTCAATTCCTCGACTCTGTCGGGCCTGTTCCTTGATCTCATCCACAAGAGACTCCTGGGAAATATACTGCGGTGTCCAATCACTCATGTAAGGCTTGGATCTCTCTTGCGCGACATTCTCAACAGGTGCTGACTGTCCAGGGAATTGGATGATTCGCCGGTTCCCGCGAATGCTCATCGCTTCAACAAAGCACTCGTTAAGCTCACGGATTACTGCCCGCAGTCTGCGGAAAGGAGACTCTTCTGTGGTCGCTGTATGATCTTGGAATCCACCGAAAAACTCATCGACGTACGATCCATTCAAAGCCTGGTCTGTAATTCGCGCGAATTTGCTGCTGATATCAACAAGGAAACGGCGTTGCTCCTGAAGAGTAGTGCGCGGCGTGCCCATTTTTGCCAGTGTCTGCTCGTTACGAGAAATCCTCTCTTGTATGTCCGCAATAAGACCAGGAAGATTGCGACGGACATGACCAAGTAGAATCTTGCTGAGGCGATGCCTCAGACTTTCGATCCCGACTTGATCTCGAGGAAGGGAAGCCCACCGTCCCTTTTCAAAGAACTCCTTTTCTTGAGCGTCTCGGGCGTCATCGGAAATGCTGCACGTTTCAAACGAGCGGTTGCGCAGTACATGCCATCCAAGTTGCAGTTTGACTTTTTCGTTTCTGATGAACTGTATATAAGTTTCTTGTTCCTCCGAGCCCGCTTCGGGGATATCGGGCTGCGTAACAATGCCCAAGACCCTCTCATATTTGGGATCAAAAGTCTGTGCGATGTTCAAGACCTTCTGGATATGATAATCGGCCCTTGCACTGATGACAGCCAGGATGATGCTCCGGGAGCTTTTTATGTACTTTTCCGTCAGTTTCTGGACTATCACCATTCCTTGCTCGGTTTGTTCGCTGCTGCTGGAGTAGTAGAGCCCCGGAAGGTCGACCAGAGTCAGCTCTGGCTTTTCAGGGCCCGAGATCTCGACTTTAAGGACATCGTCGCTAAATCCAGCGCTCGAAGGATCGGTGCTGGAAAGGCCCATGCATTCCTTCGCTTTTTCGATCAGTGTAGGGAGGTCTCCGCTAGAGGAAAAGGCCTCGGAGGCGAAGGCTCGGAGCTTCTGTCGTTCCTGTTCATTCTTCCTGGAATCCCCGGGCTCAATGGATACTTTGATCCTGTCGTGGGGGCTTCGGCGAAGAACAATTTCGGTCGCGAACCGAGTGCAGATATTGCTCTTGGATGGAAAGCGCACTCTGGAGATGGCCTCCAATACGGAGCTTTTTCCACTAGACTGATTGCCGCAGACGATAATTTGAGGCAGCTCCACGAGGCTTCCAACTCCGATGGCGCGCAGCTCGTCAATCTTGTCCAGCAGTTCTGACTGCTCTGACTGTAGCTGATTCATGGCATGTTCATCAAGTGGGGATGACATGGTGAGAATGCTGTGATTTATTTTCCAATTCATGGAAGTAAGATACTGTTATGGAATTGAGTGGGGTTTGGGGGAGAGAGGAAGAAAGGGGGGCAGAATTGGATGGATCTCATTAGGATTGGCCTAGTACACATTGATCTGCGTGTACTTCGTCAACTTACGACAGACACAGTTGACTTCCCGAATCGATTACACCAGAGGTATGACTTTTTTTTATAGTAGGCAGTTTGCAAGAAACAAAGGCATATATAATACAGGGATCTGGGCTTCCGATTGCACAGCTGTTGTGTATAATCACGAGATACATATCAACGAGCATAACGGAGTATATATAATACTTCTAACCTCGTTTGGGCTGGTAATTATGGGCCCAACCTCATGATGCCTTGTATTTCTGGTTAGACTACGGAGTACATTGCTGAGATATGTGCTAGGTTCATATATATACATAGTCGACGTTGAAGGAGCTAGATATATACATCCACTACACAACAATATTGTAAATGATGCAAACCCTTTTCGTGGGACGTTGGGTTTCACCACTGTACGGCATTGGCAGTGGTGACAACGATCATGCACCGCAATGTACTCCGTATATGCCGATGAATTACCAGACTGTAATATCTACTAAGGTGATGGATAGAAACGAGTAAAAATTTAAAGGTGTATCATTCCACAGCCCGGAGGACTTTTTGATTTCGTTTCTGCCCTGTAGAGGCCAACCCCGGACCCCTTCCCATCACCCTTTGATTTGTTCGACAAGAAAAAAGGATGGTGACCACAAGCTTAATTCGCTAAGGGCGCATGAGACGCTCATCCGCAGGCGCCTAAGTACATTTGTCTCATAGCAGAATTCCATTTTCAACCCGTCACAAGAATAACTCCAAGAAAAAGCACCCTTAATCCTTGGTCTTCTGGGTACCGCGGAGCAGACCAGTTCTGCGGGCAGCAATGAGACCAGCCTTTTGACCCTGGGTAGCGTAGCGGGAGATGGTCGAGGCCTTACCGATGTGCTGGTGGTTACCACCACCGTGGGGCTGTAGAGAGAGACGTTAGAGATGGCGGTCCTGGATGTTATCGGGTCTGTGTATAGACGGAAACTTACGTGATCGACGGGGTTCATGGCAACACCACGAGTCTTGGGCCAAGAGTTGCGCTTGACGGCGAACTTGTGCTTGGCACGACCGGCCTTGAGCAAAGGCTTGTCGGTACGGCCACCACCGGCAACGATACCAACCATACCGCGGGCGGTGTTCTTGATGACCTTCTTGGCACCGGAGGGGAGCTTGACACGGGTCTTGCCATCCTCGGGGTTGTGGCCAATAATGGTAACGTAGTTACCGGAGGTACGGCCAAGCGCACCACGGTCACCAGCCTTCTCCTCGACGTTGGAGACGACGGTACCCTCGGGCATGGAGCCGAGAGGGAGGACGTTGCCGACGGTCAGGGCAGCGTTCTTACCGGCGTAGATGAACTGGCCGGTGTACATGCCCTCGTTGGCGATGAAAGTCTCGGTGACCATCTTGAACTTGTAGGGGTGACGGAACTGGACCTTGGCGAGGGGAGCACCACGACCGGCATCGTGGATGATCTCCTTGACGACACCACGGGTGTAACCGTGAGCCTCAGCGAAGTCGAGGGTCCGGAATTGGGCAGGGGCCTTGTTCAGGCGGGTGTTGGCCGCTGCAAAGTAAAGAAAAATTCGATATCAGCACTCCAATCTCCTTGCGAATCTGTGTGGTCTTCCAATGGTATTCTTCATTTCCTCCTCGCTGCTCGGGATGCGCAGCCTCAAAATTTCGTGCGGGAATGGTTTGCGGTCGCACTCACTGAAAATGGAGCCACGGCCCTTCCTCTGGTTGCGGATGACACGACCCATGGCGACTGTCTAGACGAGGATCCTATGTTAGTATGGAAGCCGGACAGAAGTGTCGTGGAAAAGTGGTAAGCGTACCTCGAAGTGAAATAGGCTTGTCGTTGACGAGTTGAGAAATCATCGGACACGGGGACTTGTGTGGGCTTTAGGGTGCGGTCGCTAATCTAACCCAATCGGGTATAGCGCATGGTCGCTTACTTGAATTGGCTTGAACTACAGCATTTCCAAAATAGGCCTTTAACCGCTAGGTTTATACGGTGATCATAGATAATAATTGTTTTACGAAATTGTATGGAGTATTTTAAAAGACTTTCGACTCCAATATCTCTGTATAATCTGTATTTTATGCCTGAAGAGACTCTTTCAGTGCGAGCCCTGTAGATTTTGCGAGGGCAGGTTATGTCATCAACACACACGTGATTGCCAAGACTAGATATCGCCAAGACTTTTCATTTTGGAGTGTTGCTCTCTTCCTTGGACCTCGAATCAGCTGTGTCTGTATATTCTATGTTTCTGTCTATGGTTTTGGTGTGATGGAACTATTGATGAAATGAGAAGTAAATAGCCTTGGGTCATACTCGCTCCTCAAACATTACAGATGTCAATATCAAATGGTTCACAAAGCTCGTCGCGTACTTCTCGAGGTCTAGTATGAAAGCAACGGATATGTAAAGTCTGTCTCAGCTAGTCGCATTCATTTCTCTCTGCACTATTACATCTCTTTGGCTTAATTGGGGGTTTGAAAATACCAAATAGAGCTTCATCAGTCTCTCAGCTCTGCTCTACTTCTATACAGTAATTTGTAAATTCAAGCTGCTTTTATGCCAATATCTCATTTATTTGATTCATTCTCTTACAGAAGACAATAAGGAGCCTCGGTAAAATATGTTACAAACAAATGGAGCAGTTGTCTCCGGAATCCTTGAGATAATAGCCTCGGGCGCAAGCCCAGTGCATACGGCAGTTTTTGTGTCCATCGCGCTAGGAAGGTTAACCGACTGCCATGAATCAACATTGATACATGTGTATTCTCTTAAAAGTCTAGAAATAGCTCATATCAAATGTCTCCTACTAACAATATTCGGGGATAGTCAGCGGCTATATTCTAAAAAGCCCTAGAATAGCGATAGAAGGATGATAACAAAGTGGTTTTTATAGCGCTAGACATTCTCTACGGGATATAGTTAGATATTATAGGTATTTTAGAGTAGGGCATGTATCGAGTTTATAAAACTGTGCTCTAAAATAGAGAAATAATCTCCTGCTTATAAAGGCTTGCACATAGGTTGGCGCGATGGACCCAAAAACCTGCCGTACGTGCAGACGTGACGGCTCGATTGCGCGCAACTTACTTCTTCCTGCCACCTACCCCATCACTTCCACCATGCCTTCAGATTCAGAACTTTCATCATTATCATCGGCACCTCCAACGGATGACGAAGCTACTATGGCGATTGACCACCCGACTGGTATAGCAAAGTACTTCAAGAAGGAGTCTGAGACGCCGCCACCGAAGCGGGAACCGTCACCTCCGCATGAATACGTCGTGGCCGACAACCCCGATATTGCAGTGAGTTTACTTGGCAGGAAGATTTGCGCATTGCTTGGTCTACGGACATATGACGCGTTTGGCCAACAATAGGACACGCTTGCTAAGTTATCGCAATCTTTAGTTCATCGTCGCGTTCCGCGCGCGTTTCCATGAAGTGTTCCCCAAAAGTGTGCCACACTACGGCCCACAGGATATTGAGAACGGCATTGAGGAGTCGCCCCCCGGAGAATACATCGAAAGACTTCTATGCGCATTGCTTGGGCTTGTTCTGAACCGCAAGAAGGAAGTTGAGTATGTTCGCCACCTGTCGCCCGATACCGTGCGGAGTGCTTGAAGACGCGCACGCTATCGGTTGTCGAGTCACGTCAAGTGCTAATCTAATTCTAAATATACAGACGAAATCACTTCACGCGTCCCCTCGAAGAAGCAATCCATACACATCAGTCGCAGTGGCCAAAAGAATGGGAGGGCAAAAACCCCCTTCATGGGGGTGGCAGCTTTGCGACCATGTCTCCCGTGGAACGTGTATGTTTTTTAAGAGCCACGACACCCGATTGGCGATTCTGACATGTCTTATCTTAGCTGCGTTTATTGCGAACCTTGATACTGTGGTCACTTTCGTCGTCCGAAGCGGTTCAGGCGAAGATTAAAGAATCCTACAAGCAGGCGCGCCACGATGATGATCTCAACCAACCATTGTCTGTCCAACCCTGGGGCAGAGATAGCCTGAAACGTCGGTATTGGCTTATCGAAGGGCACGATGATACAAATTTTCGCCTTTACCGCGAAAGTAACCCGGCCCTCAAAAACAACACTTGGTGGAGCATCGCGGGGAGTATTCCTGAGCTGGAGGCTGTCGTGGAGAAACTTGAGGGCGAAAAAGGCACAAACTCCAAGAAGCTTAGTGAGAGAATTCGTGCTTCGATTCCTCGGTTTGAGGCATCAGAAGAGGTGATTTTCTACTTCGAGAGTAAATTGGATTTTGCTAATAATTATTAGAAACGGAGACGCCGCGAATACCGTCTCGCCCGGAAAGCTGCGTTCGTTCGTCCGGATCCTGGGTTCTCCATGTATGAAGGTCGTACACGCGGCAAGAAACTGAAATACACATACTCGGACGACGATGACATCTTTTCTGATGACGATGAGCCTTCCGCTCGTCGCTCCACTAGAAATGCAGCTCCTACGGAAGCTTCCACGGAGTCTAGACGCCCTCGGTTCACGGCAAGCGGGAGACAGATTCGATCTCGCGCCGGGGGCCTCTATGGCGAGGCTCTGTTGACTGGTCAACGCAACGGAGCTGATGATGATGAGTTCGATGAAGATGAAGATGAAGAAGAAGTAATCAGACCGCAAAGGGCTCGCACTTCAACCCACCCCAACGGATACTCTGGATACGACGCCGATGATTTGGAGGATGCATCTGAAGTCCCTTCAAGCGCGAATGAAAGCGGCAACGAATGGCAAGGCGTTGAAGATGATTTGGAGCACGATGTCGAAGGCGATAATGAAGAGGACGAAGCAAGCGCAGATGAGTCAAGCGGCAATGAGGAGCCAGAAAGCCTTGTTGTGCAACTTCGATATGGCAAGGGAGATGCACCTAGCAATCTAGAGGTCCAGATTAAAAAATCACCTCCGGCGAAAGAAGTCGAAATTACCGAAGGAACCGCAGCAGCTTCCTCCGCCCAAGCACCGCCGAAGACCCCCCATCAATCAAACTCGGATGCGCAGCAAGCCCCGACAATGATTGCCACTTCACACCCTTTTGCTTCGATACCCCAAGTGCCGACTCATTCTGCTGCAGCGGTAGCTGCGCCATCCGTTTCTTCAAACGGCGTGGACCAAATTCGAACCATCTAGCTATAAATTCGGATTCACTTCAGCATAAGGTGTTTCCGCTTCGTCAGACTAGAAAGAGGCCAGGAATATATATTCTATCAAATGTCGCTAGATAGATCTTTTTGGATTGCAATTGTACTTCTATCAGGCTGTGGGTATTATATTGGTACCAACAGCACGCGAAGTGATGGAATGAAGCTCAAAACATTGTCTTGCTCATAATCAATAAGTTCACTACACAGTAGACAACACTAAATTCGAATGGCACGTACTCGAGATCTATGTATACGGATTTATGCCAACTGACAACGCAAATGTTGTGTTCTGACGCGGCAGCCCATGAGGTTTGCCCGGTACGCCAGATATGGCAAAAAGAAGGTAATCTACTATATAGTAGAGTCGAGGTATATAAGAAATGGGAATCAACAAAAGCAGGCGCCCCCAACAGCGCAAACGCCAAAAATGCAAGCAATACAGTGTACACTAGACAGGTCGCATCCAGCGCAGAGGTGACCTCAGTTAGAGCCTGCATCGGAGAACTGGGCTGTGTAAAACTGCAGAAACTCCTCGAGCGTCAGCCTCTCCACTTCTGGTCGAGATCAGATGAGAAATTTATGTTTGGCGAAGTGGGTACTCACATTTTCAACCTGCGACATTTGCTTATGATGCCTGGTCGAGCCCAATTGCGGCAGATGCCAGTTGTTCACTTCGTACCACCATCTGCGAACACGACTGCCGAGGGTGTGTCCGCTGACTGAGGCATTGCGGTTCCAGAAACGCCAGCCGGAGAGCGCGAGTGTCCAAACGGTTCCTTGGATCAGAGGGAGAAGTACCTAGAATGGAAAGATTGACGTGTTAGCCAGGCATTATCAAAGATATTATCCTTGACACCCCAAAGGAATCATTCGATGCATACCTGATCCCTAGTAGTAATCCACGCTACTCGGCCCCAGGTGTCAGCATCCTTAATGCTGGCTAGATAGCTCTGCTCAAAGCGCAGATCCGGAAGAGGAGGAAGAGTGTGTCGGCGGCGGACCGGTCGAATTACTCGTCTTGGATGGACAACGTCGGAGGCAATGCTGTTTGTTTCGGAGTCTGGGCCTACCGCGACGGGTCGTTTCTCCGAAGCTGTGGTGGTTGGATTGATGTCAAGAGCTGGGTCTGGATTGCGATTGATGCTCGCGGATTGGAGAATCTGCGGGATATCCATAGCATGGTCGGCCATTTTGGTGGGTTTTTATACGAAGGTGAGCAGCCTGGGGTGAATAGAAGCAGCTCCCAAGGTTGTTCGGCTGGTACCGGTGGGACCGCGGATACGCAGTCCGCTCTTTTCTGCCAACCCCTCCATATCCTCCACATCCTCCCACCCTTCTCCCACCTTTTTACTTCGATTCCATTCTCAATTCTCTTTAATTTCTCATTAATTATATCACAATGGCTGCTGCTCAAGGCTACCCTCTTCTGTGTCTGGAGAACCCTCTCCTCGGTATGTGAAGGATCATCTGGGCATGTTTATAAAATGCTGACTTGCTTGCAATAGACATCCAGGCTCGTGGGTATGGATGAACCTGAAGTAAAATGGTGCTGAGTTCTAAATGCTGATATGTCTTAGCGATGCCGCTCTCCTAGAGAAGTATGATCTGAAGCCCAATGATGCTATCCTCGCCGAGGAGAAGCACATGGGTATCTACGAGGACCTGCTTGCCCGCGATGCCAAGCTGATCCCCGGTGGTGCTGCCCAGAACACCGCTCGTGGTGCCCAGGTATGGATTAAAACACTCTCGTGATCTCCATGATTGATATTGACAATTTTCTCAGTACATGCTCCCTGAGAACTCCGTTGTCTACATCGGTTGTATCGGTAAGGACAAGTACGGTGAGATCCTCAAGAAGACTTGCGAGGAGGCCGGTGTCCACACCGAGTACCGTATCGACGAGACCCAGCCCACCGGTAAGTGTGGTGTTGTCATCACTGGCCACGACCGCAGCATGTGCACCCACCTCGCTGCTGCCAACGAGTACAAGCTTGAGCACCTCAAGCAGCCCGAGGTTTGGTCTCTGGTCGAGAAGGCCCAGCATTACTACGTCGGTGGCTACCACCTGACTGTCTGTGTTCCCGCCATCCTTGCCCTTGGTGAGGAGGCTGCCGCTAAGAACAAGGTATGTCGTTTGCATTCTACTGCATTGGACCTTTTTTCTGATCTATTTATTTTCGTCAGACCTTCATGCTGTCTCTCTCTGCTCCTTTCATCGCCCAGTTCTTTAAGGACCAGCTAGATAGCGTCCTGCCCTACACTGACTACACCTTCTGCAACGAGACTGAGGCCATTGCCTACTCCGAGGGCCACCAGTGGGGCACCGAGGATATCACTGAGATCGCCAAGAAGCTCGCCCAGCTCCCCAAGAAGAACACCCAACGTCCCCGTGTTGCCATTGTCACTCAGGGCACTCTCCCCACCATTGTCGCCATCGGCTCTGCTACCGGTGACGTCGAGGTGAAGGAGTTCAAGGTCCGCGAGATCTCCAAGGAGGCCATCAACGACACCAACGGTGCTGGGTGAGTGATATTGATCTGAACAACCCACATTCATATATACTAACTTGCTGTTCCTTATAGTGATGCCTTCGCCGGTGGTTTCTGCGCTGGTATCGTCGCGGGCAAGTCCCTCGATGACAGCATCGACATGGGCCAGTGGCTCGCCAGCAAGAGCATCCAGGAGCTTGGACCTTCGTGAGTTTCCCCAAAGTAATACATTGCAAGAATACTAGCTAACAACTCTTAACTCACAGCTTCCCCTCCCCCAAGCAGACCTACTCTCGCTCCTAAGCGTTCATAATGTAGGCTACGAAAAAAAGCATAGACTACCAACACCTTCAACATATCTACCAACCTAATTGGAAGGTTTTGTGCGATCCAGTTCAACAACCGGATGAGCACCACTTGACTTTGGATGATTCAACCCTCTATACCCAATTTTTTTCCTTTTCTTAAAACTTCATGACTTCAACGTACTGTCTGAAAAAGCGAACAAAACCCATACTCTTGAGAATCTTGTCTAATTATCTGTGGCTATCCCTGTTACGGCCACTTGATGAATGAAAGTATTTAGGCGATCTACCCTTCTATTATCCATGAGAAAGAGCCCATCCCGTAGATACTATAAGAAGAAGCACGTAAAATGCAAATTTGAATTTCAATTGCCTAACCGACACGATGGCGTCAAGAGGGTAATAGGCCCCGAGCAATCTGCAGGCCCATACTCATTTCAAAGATCACCGTATGTCCGCGCCCTAAAATTCTTCTAACGATAGAAAAGACAAGGCTAAGGTTGATGGGGATAGCGCGGTTCCTGGCCATGTTGCATGAAAAAGAAGAAAAGGCAGAAAACAGAACGAAACAAATGTCTTCTCCAATGGCAGATTGTCCATGTTCATATCCTCGTATTGATCATGTCGTGTGGTTGAACGCACGTATCCGTCCAGACAAAATTGCGAGGAGAGCGAGGACCGAAGAAGTTCCTGCAATTGTGGAAAAAAAGCCATAAGCGTCCTCGCCACCAGAGAACTAGTGCGGGATTTGCCATTTGTGAAACTGGCTAGCAGTAATACAATCTCGTCTGGTCGTTGTAAAGGTGCATACTGCCAGTGTAGGCCTGAACTTGTAGACTCAGCGGCCACAGACAAACACAGTACACGCCAGGATAGTTGGAGGTCGGGTTGCACTGTTCATTATGACAGCTTGCCCGGCTGGTAGTGTAATATGCATATGCACATAGAAGAACTAAAAAAAATGAGAGCTTGGATATTCGAATCAGCCTCCTTGGCCACAGGGTGGGGTTTGACCGACTGCTCCAAGCTGGGTTGCAGGCTTGCGCCCGCCAATCCCGGAGCTGTAGGGAGTTGCCCCAGCGAGGCTGCTGGCGATGAAAGCGTCATTGGCCCATGACTGATGTCCCAGGCTGCTGGACATCGTCTGGCTCGGGAGTTCGAATGCACCGAAGGTCGCTCGGCTATGATCCCAGCCGCTAGCGGTGGGACGAGCATGAGAAATGGATGATGCCCACGGCGTGGGCATGGATCCTACGTCCAGTGAGCTTGAAAACTGGGTCTGAGCCATCAGGTGCTGTCGGAGCATGAGCTCATTTGCTAGCTGATCTTGCGACGGTGGGCGCTCAGAAGGCATGGCATTCCCAGAAGCCATGGGGTGCAGTGGAGCTCGCTGGCCATGTTGTGGACCAAGGCCAGGGGGCGTTCGTGGAGGGGCGGTGTCTCTCAGTGGTGTCCAAATGCTAGGGATGCTGGGAATGGCAGGCCGTGGGGTATATGACTGAGCCGATGTAGACTCAGCTGCATTTATGACTGGTGGACCGAGCCCAGGTGGAGGGGCCATGGGGGTGCTGAGTGGTGGAGAATTTTCGTTCCGGAACGGGTAAGCATTGACATTGGGCGAGACATGCGTAGGTGTCGATATCTCCCCCGAACTCATAAAAGCAAATTGGCCATTGGATGGGGTTTCATACGTGTCCGAGTCAACAAGTCGTTCAACGCCCTCAACGATCTGATGCATGTTGGCGGACATAGATGCCGATGCAGACTGGGAACCGCCGAACAGACTTTGGGCTTCTGCGGCAGAGTATGCATTTTGACCGGCCTGTGGGATATCCTCGCGCTCGATGCTCGCAACCGGAAGTGCATTTTGGCGGCCATGAGGGCTGGAATAGAATTGCGAAGGCAAATCCTCTTCCTGATAGATGAATGTCTTCTTATCTTCACTATCCACAAGAGCTACGGGTATTTTCTAAACGAGGTTAGCAATCTGCTTGTTTGTGTACGGTATCTTGAGAGCTTTTCACATACTCCGTTGACGACCAAGTCGAGTCCATCAATCACGAATTCACGAATTCGATAGAGCATTTCCATGTTGGGGTGACTTCTTTCAATCCCAAGATCGTGCATCCGGGGCTTTGGCTGATCACGACTTCCAACGTATCGGCGAGAAGTGGCATCCTGATCTAGAGGTGCAAAACCAAGACTTTCTTCGTCTTCTTCCAATAGATAATCGACCTCGGGAAGGCTGACCACATCAAACGAGGATGCGAGCAAGCTTAGCGTACCGGCATAAATTTTCCAGAATTCTTTGATTTGGATCGAGAGCGCCGAATCTTTTTCCTCCTTCTGCTCAACCAGAGACTGGCTATTTGTAAGCAGCCAAGAGCTGTAATGGCGAAGCGCGGGCAGGATCCGACGAGCAACCACAGACACCTTGTCTGGGATAGGCATTTCGTCTTTGCTGTTCGGATCTTCAAAAGAAGCAGTCCGTTCGAGTTCGACCAAAAGTATTTGCAGTAAGGTGAAAAATGTCTTCACGTTGATGCGTTGGAAAAAGACGCGTGCTTCCAAGACAGACTCTTCTAAGATAAGTAAGCAGATGTATGAGCAATGATAATGTTTTGAGCTCTTACCAATAGACCGGACCTTAGCAAAATCCTCGGCCGCAATATTGATGAGACAGAACTTTTGAAGTGTCCCCTCTAGTGATCGTTCTCTAATCTCAACTGCTAGTTGACTGAGAACTTCACTCTCTAACTCATCGTGCTCGGGGAAGTCGGTGCCCTTGTAACATTTGGCATGGAGATAAAGAAACCACGAGGTCAAGGCTCTTCCAGGGATACCGGCATCTTCGGGGCGGATCAGCTCTTTCTTAGCCCAAGCACTCATGATTTTTCGAAGTTCAATCTCCAGATTGCCCTTCGCAGTAGGATGAGGTTCTTGGGCTGACAGGGCTCTGTAGAGATGGTAGGTAGCACGAAGATGATTTCCATCCGCGAGAGCGATAATTGCCAATTGGTTCTGAGATGCACCCGAGGCAGGGTTGATCACCGACGCCAAATCATAATAACCGATGGCAGGGCCCCAGTTGCGATCTTTACTGACGAGTTCCGATTCACGATAGCGGGAAAGGTCTCCCAGCCGGATAAGAGTTGCGTGGCAAGACTGGAGAATGAGCTTACGCAGGTCTTTGGAGGGCTTGATCGGAGGTTGGCCGGACAGATCTAAAAACAAACGCGGGTCAGCGTGCCTAGAGACCCGGCGCGCAGCTTGTGTATCTGCCTTACCCTCAAAATTGAACTTGCGCGCGACTCTCTCCAACTCAACAATCCCCCCAAATCGCGACGACAAGTGCTGGATGTATCCCCGGTAAAACCGCTGGCTTGACTTGATGAAATCGAGATAATGACGTTCGAGTTTCCGCCTCTCCACTGGTTTTTTCTTGCCGTGCTCTTCGCGAAACTAATGACAAACAATCACAGTCAGCGAATATATATTTCGCGAAAAGCTTCCGTGGGGTACTCACGCGAATCAACTGCTTGCGAAACCGATTGTTCACTTTCAAGTGCGCATCCCAAAGGCGAGTTTCCACGTCGGCCTCGCGGGAAGCATTGAAGTCGAGGAGGATTGCATTCTGAGAAGAGGTCCGGAACCTATATAGGAAAGAGGTCAGCCATGCGTTGGCGTGCGCGCGGGGCTTGTCACTGACTCGGAGAGGAAATGTTCGAATTCATCGAATGTGCGCCGTTCTTGTGAGAAGCATTGCAGAAGCTCTTTCTCGGCTTCGATCGCAGTCCTGTATCACACCACTGGTCAATGTTCACAATCCAGCCGAAATCGAGGGGAAAGCACTAACTTCCAGGCATCCGTGAACGAGGGCGCCATCAGGAAGTTAGCCCGGGGATCCCGAGCGTCAACCTCGCCGGTCAGATGGCTATGGCTTGGAATATGAACGGCGGAGGAGCCATCAGTATGTGAAAGACATGAAAGCGCACGGTGATGATGTGATTCGAGTTGAGTATGAAAATGCATAAATGCGATCTCGGTCTACCATCCGCGATGATTGGTGTTGCCAAGGCGGGAGGTATCGCGTAACGTATGCTGATTACGGGTTTATTTCATCTCATGAAGACAGCGACATAAGGACAGCGACATGTGCAAGTCAAAGGAAGGTGAAGATGAGGATTGTCTCAATGTATACTAGTGAAGAGGTTTATACCGTCTTTAACAGATCACTGTGCTCCATCCACTACACGCGGAGGGTTATAGCATCCATGGAAAAGACCTAACTAGGTATTTTTGCCGTCCGCCGATTTCTTCAGAATAAGCTTGTTTAACTAGTTCTATTGAGCTTTTTGGTACGAGATGTTGATATCATACTGTTGACGTACTTTCTATAACATTTGCCCGAACCCTCAGGCAAGAGACATCTAAAGAAAAGGAAAAGAACATGATGGAAAGTAAAACACACATTGTTAAGGAATACTACGGATAACTGCTTTGTTTGAATCCTATAGTCTTAGCCTACAAGTAGCTTGCTATGTTGTAGAGTCAATAAGATATCAAATCGCTATATAAACCCTCCGGCGCTCCTCATCAAAATTTATATAAGCCCTTCCCGCCTTTTTCTGCCATCTATCCAGAAAGCTTAAGAAGAGGAAGAAGACATCTTCAAAAGAAAAGCATATAAAAAGACTTCTAAAAAGATTACAAGGCGGAGAGTGGAATAAATTAAGTCTTGCATGGTCGCTGTACTCCCCCGTACGCTCGCCAAGTTGACCTATCAATAATATGCAAGGCGAATTAGACCATGTCGAAACGACCCCGAAGCCGTTCGAGATCTCCATCTCTCGATCAAGACTCAATTTCAGTATCCTCAATCGCAGTGAATACTACGACTCCTCCATCTGAGCGCAACAAGCTCATCGACAGTGATACCAACCTCCTCCCCGAGGTGATGCATTGCTCCTTACCGCCTCACCGCGAGACGCTCTCGTTCACCTCCTACGACGACTACGAGGTCCATTATCTTCAATCCCATGTCAACCGCTGTTCCAAGTGCAGCAAGAACTTCCCCACTGGCCATTTGCTCAACATACACATCGAGGAGAACCATGACCCGCTAGCTGCTGCGCGGCGGGCCCGTGGAGACAAGACTGTAAGCCCTAGCCTGCCTCCTTAACTATACCCCCCACGTTACTAAATCAAACCAAAGTATGGGTGCTTCATCGAAGACTGCGAGCGGAAATGCTCAACCCCGCAGAAACGTCGGCTACATCTTATCGACAAGCACATGTTTCCCCGGGTGAGTTTCAGATCAAAATAGCGCCCCTACGTCACTGACACATTCTACAGAGTTACAACTTCTACATTGTCAATGACGGCATCGATAAGCAAACATCTATGCTGCGACCCATGAACAGCCACAGACGACGTCTCTCAACGTCGTCGGCTCTGGAGGGCAGGTTGCGGCGCCGAAGCTCGGCGTCTCAATCGAACCCACCGACAGCAGCTATCCCTGAAAATAAATCACCAAATGACATGGACATGGACATTGACGAGCTGGAAAAGTCTATGTCGGCTCTGAAGTTCGTGCCTACAAGCGTCATTAGGAATCGCAACAAGGTGGCTGGCAAATAGTCCTGTCTATATATGTTGTGCTCGTTTGGATGTCAATACGCAACCCTTCCTATGAGAGATGATATAATGATCAAAATGGATAAATATATACGAATATACTTTACATACCACTCCTCGAATAGGTAAAGAGGTACTTTGAGAGAATCACTATATGCAAGTTCTAGTAGAAACAAGTTGCTATTGTCCACAACAAACAGTGGTGGGGTATAGACAGCACTAAGCAAATGACGAAGTCATAATACATACACATAGATCAAACAAACATTGAACACAAATAACCTTACTTCCCAGTCCCCCATATACAAAACTCCATGAGACATCATCCAAAAGAGAAACATGTGATCATTAGGATGGCCATTCCAAAGAGGCCATTATTTTTTTTCTTGGCAGAGATGTTAGTTGCATCTTTGCCGGAGATTCTCTGCTCAATGGAACAAAGACCAACCTCCCAAGCGACAGACTTCGAAACACTCAAATTAATATTCCAGAAGATCCGCATACGCATCCAAGCTTGAGCCGACCAAATCAACGATCGCCCAACTAGTATTGCCCTTGAAAGTGCGCGCCCAGACGCGGACAATCGCAACACTAAGCTGCCGCACTTTGTACGGATTCGCCATGAACTCCATATCTGGTGCGCCAGGCGGATCAACAGCCATTTCGGTTTCATCCATCATGCTCTTGATCCACAGGAGCAACTTCCGCTCATGCTCCGACAATCTTTGCTCGGAGTGCGTTGTGGGAATGGCGAGAAGCCAGCGACTGAGAAGGAAGGCGCATTCCAGACTGCAGAGCGAATGCTGAATGCTCCAGAAGAACGAATGTGTCCGAGCCACAAAGTCAATTCCCAGTCGAACTGGGATTGAAAGAGCATGGGCTGAGTGAAGAAGCGCCATGATCAGCCGTGGGCTACGTGCGATAGCAGGGGACTCGTTCAGAGCTGATGCAATTTGGACTGGATCTTGTGTGATGAGGTGACGGCAGGGACCTAAGTCAACATGTAAACGGATGTAGGCGAGCCCCAACAGAGCTGTGGAGGTGAATGCAATTGGGCCGGCCGGATTTTGGGGATCGATGCTGGATTCGGGTGTGCGCTTCCATAAAGCCTTCCACGCGCCTAACGAATTGTCTAGTACGTTCAAATCGTCCGGTCTCAAACTAGTGCCCTGCATATGAGGCGCGGAAAGACAGAGCTGTCGAGCAAAGAAAATTTGTTGGATAATGGCGTGGATGAGGACATAGTTTCCAAGGGGGGATATAGGTGCCGACGGAGTTGACATGGATGACTTGAGGAAGAGTCTGGCAAAGGCCTCTTGGAAAGGCACATCTGATCCCTGCCTGGCACGATAAACGCGGCGCCATTGTGCGGAATTGGTCACTTTCCAGAGTTCGTGGGAACACGGCATGATTAACTTCAACTCCGCGTTCAAGATCAGAGGAGGTATGTTATACATGATCGAGTGGAGGTTGAAGAAACAGTATACAATAAGCTTTGTACGTCTGTTACCTTCTCTCCGTACCCACTCCTCCCAGTTGGTAGGTTCTGAGGTGGAAGGTGATTCAGACAAGCCATGTTCACGCACAAGCCTGGCCAAAGTACTCTGAAGCGAGAGAATCTCCCGCAAGAGTTCTGGATGTCGTTCCCAGGACGCGAACACAGTCAGCAGCAAAAAAGTTCGAATCACTTCCATATGAGCATCTGAGTCATCTAGCGTGTATATCGATGGGTTGAGTGGTGGATTTGGCATTTGCTGATGATGTTGGAAAGGGCTGCCCGCCGTGTTAGAAATCATGGATGAACCACGAGAGGTAGGAAACCCTGATGATGGGGATATATAGTTCCATGACGGCTGAAGCACTTGCTTGCTGTCTCGTCGACGGAGTCGCTCCAATAAAATCGCTTTAGCTGCATGGAAAAGGTCGATACCCCGGCTGTTCTCAAACCGATAGTGTGAACCAGCAGCTGCCAGCGCTAGCGTAAGTTCAGGGGAAGATTTAGCAACCGATAGCGTAGGGACATGTATAAAAGGAAGATGCTCGTTCAATCCGTTGATATACCCGGCGAAGAACCGTGATAGGGCATGCCGCGATGGCGGAACAAATCCTTTCGGGAGAACATATGAAAACTCTTCAAGTTTCGAAATGAACGATTGGCGATCTGAATTAGAGATATCCCATGCAGGTCGTGTACTCTCGTCGGAAAGACCGATACGGTCATCCATTTCGTGAGATTCCGGTTGCAGTGATGGCAGCCGGGATCCAAAATTCGAGAAAGACGGGGGATCTTCCGCGGGACCCCGCGGGTCATTCATGATATCCCCGCCAAGTCGTGATGGCATCGGCTCACGGGGCGGTTTCGAATCGATTGTCATACTCGGCGGTAGCATAGGCTCCTCGACCGACGAGAACACGCCCGAGTCCCAATCAGACGACAAACCCACACTTTCCAGGAAAACCGTAAAATCCTGGACAGGGTCCCCAAGATCCGTGAGATCAAGAATCGAAGGCTCTACACCATAACTATCGGCAATTGCCCTCTCCTGGACATGAGGAAGTTGTTGTGATGTAGGAGTGGTTGTGTGTTGTGGTTTTCTCATGGACTCTAGGCTTTCCTGTTGACCCTCCAAAGCGACATGGCTTGCGGCATGAGATAAAAGATTCAAATCATATCCCCATGAGGGATTAAAGTGAGGTGTATCTATAATCGATGGAGTCTGGACCTGGACTTCAGGTGGTGGAGGAGGCACTTGGGTGTGGACAGGGATGGCATCTGCAAGCTCTAACATGCGCGACTCATGATGGGCGGGTTGGATGAGGTTGGACTGAATTGGTATTTCATGGTTGTTCTCGTGACCATTCTGAACCCGATGTTCTCGACTGGCTGCACTTTCAGCAGGGTGGACTAATCGCTCATGTCGCACTAGAAGGTCACTGGAAAATTTATATTTGATAAGCGATTGGCATTCTATTCCGGGGATTGAGCGCAATATAAGCCTACCTCCGAGCAAATGATTTGGAGCAAATGTCACATGAAAAGGGTTTCTCTTTTGTGTCTGTTGTCCTACATTAGACGAATTCCAAGAAGCCGGGAGCAAGAGGGGGTTACTCAACGGGTGCGGAGATGGCGTTGGAGATGTTCTAAGCGAGCAAAAGACCGACTGCAATATTCACACGACAGGGACTTCCGATGAGTCACAGCTTTCTTTTTAGATTTGGCTGATTTTTCGTCCTCCATTGTTTTTGGAGTTTTGGGGTGGAATGGGGGAGCGCACTAGGGAGGGGAAGAATTTGAGGCCGGGCTGTTTGAGCGGGGAAAATGGGCTAAAACCCCCACAGTGAGGGGACGGTCACGTGTTATCGAACTATATGGGCTCAAGGATACAAGCACATGA